GGAAGATGAGAGACGTCCCAGACAGAAGGAACACATGCTAGGGTCCTGGGACGAGAGAAGCCCTGTGCATCAGCCCTGCAGAGGGAGCCAGCGTGGCGGAGCACAGGAATGAGAAGTGAGGAAGGGGTGCTGTGGGAGGTCAGGTCGTACAGGACTGGAGGGTCCTGCAAGGACTCTTCAGCTGGGGAGTGACTCCATCCCATTTGCTTTGTGGAAGGAGCACTCTGGATGCTTCAGCATGGATGAGAGTGGAAGCGGGGAGGTGAGGCGGAAGGCTATCACCGCAGCCTAGAACTGCCTCAAAGGACCAGGTGTTCCCCCCGCCCCCATCCTTTCTCAAGGGGGCGTCCACTGCATGCGGCGAGAACGCAGCCAGAGCCACGAGGGACCTGAGTTAGTGTACACCCCACCCGAATTGCCCTACCTTGTTCCGCGGATCCCGCGCTGGGATGCCGAAGCTGTGTCCGATTTCGATGAACGTTCTAAACGCTCCTCTCCTTTTTTTGCACTCTCTTTTGTACCTCCCTCGGGAACCTCTTCAGGGACGGCCCTGTCCTATTCAGGCTTTGGCAACCCCTGGTCCAAGCAAGATACGCTGGCGGCTCAGGCCAGCTTGGTGCTGGAAGCCGGGTCTGTTCCGGGCCTGGCATATGCTAACCCTGGCGCGTCAGCGATGAACAAAATAGCCGTGACACGGACACGTGCGCTGGTGGAACTTACAGCCCAGAGGCGGGGGCGCACATTTACTTGTCAGTCTAAGAAAATGTGAAGACTGGGAGGCTGTGAATCATCAGGAGCCCCTTTGACCCCACTCTACTGGATCCCCAGGTAGGCATTTGCCTTTGGTTAAATACCAACTTTGCAAACGCCGCGTGCGAGAGCGCACGCGGCTGGGCCGGGAGTCTCGCCAGCGGGAAGCGTCCAGCCCCCGCCGCTCCCGCGGCCTAGGAGAAACAAAAGCAAAGCAGCACACCTCGAAGAAGCGAGTCGGGGGGAGGGCGCGCCATGGGCTGGAAGCGCCCAGGTTGCTGTGCCAGCCGCCAGGTGAGCGCAGAGCTGCCCGCGCTGGGTAGAGCTCTACAAGCGCGGAACCCGCAGGGCCGGCCGCGCAGCGACGCCACAGGCCTCCCGCGGTACTACAGCCCCCGCGCTCGCGGCGGAGGGGGTTGTGCGGGGAGGCGTAGAGGCTGCCTCGAGTGGCTCTACCGGCCGCGCATGCCCGGTGCGCTGCTCCCGGCTGCGGCGGCCCTACCGCGCGGTCCCGCGGGGCTCCAGAGGCGGCTGAGCAGGGCGGGTGCTCCCCGCAGTGCTGGGGAAGAACGCAGCGCCGCCAGGTGGCACAGCGTGTCCGAAACCCGAGCCTAGTCTCAGGCGCGCTCCTCCGCCCCCTCTTGAGTTGGCAAAAGCATCTCAGAGACCGGCAGTAACTTGCCCAAGGCCACACAGCCCGTACCAAAGAGTAACGGGATTGGTATTCGGACTCTGCAGCCTCCACCCCCTGCGTCCCAGGAATGGGAGGAGCACTGAATTTGAGTATTTTGGTAGTCCTCTACGACCTTGGGGAACCTGAACAAAGAGGCCTTTTCCCCCTCTTTCACAGGTGAGCAAACAAAAGCTCAAAGAAGTTACTAGACATTCCTGAAATATTTTTAACAAACAAACAAAACAAAAAAAGCCACTTCCTAGGGTCTCCTGTTTATGCAGTCTTGAAATGCCTGAGATTTACAAGTCTTTGCCCGCCTCCGTCCGCTCCCCGCCCCCCCCCCGCCCCACTCCAGCAACTGGCCCAAAGATCCAGACCTGGTTGTTAGAGACCTGGCCCTTTTCTGAGACACACTGAAGTCAAGTCCCTTCCTCCGCGAGCCACAGGGTCCTCACTGGCAGAATCGCCATAAATGACTCCCTACGATCACAATGTGTTAAGTGCCCAGGATGATCTAGAGCTGCAGCCCTTCCTTCTCGCCTTCAAACATGTGCAACTCTGCACATCTCAGGGTCTTTGCACATGCTCTTTGTGTGAAGCTCTCTTCCACCTTCCCATGCTGAATCCTACTCATGGCTGACAGCTCATCTTCAAAGTCCCCTTCACTGAGCCTTTTTGATCATCCTTTCTCTTGTTTTGCACTCCCTTCCACACCACACTACCCAGTTTTTCCTCTCTGACCTCTAGCCCTCCCTAATATTAATTATATATTCCATTAATTGCCTGAGGTCCACCACCCCCAGCAACAAGAATGCTCCCTGAAGGAGCCTGATTTTGTTCCTCGAGTACTCTATCCTCAGCACCTAGCTTGCTTGTGTCTGCACTAAATAGGTACTCAGTAAATGTTCGTTGAATGAATAAGTAAATGAATGGACATCTCCCAACCCTTATACTCAACGACTAGTTTGGTTCACACGTCTTCCCGCCTCTCTCCTATTCATTAGGCAATCATATCCAGCAGCGTGTATTGGGTTTCTTAGGGCTGCTGTAACAAACAGAAATTTATTGTCTCACAGTTCTGGGGGCTAGAAGTGTAAAAATCAAGGTGTCAGCTGGGTCATGCTCCCTGGGAACGCTATAGGGAGAGATTCTTGCCTTTCCCAGTTTCTGACAGCCCCAGGTGTTCCTTTGCTTGTGGCAACATAACCCCACATTAGCCTTGTCTTTGCATGGCCTTTTCTCCCTGTGTTTCTGTGAGTCTTCACATGGCATTCGCCTCTCTGAATTTCTTCTTTTTTAAGGACACCAATCACAGTGGTTTAGGGCCCACCTAATGTCCCCATTTTAACTATGTCTGCAAAGACCCTATTTCCAGATAAGGTCACATCCACAGGTGTGAATTTGCATTTACATTCACTGGGGATTAGGACTTTAACATATCTTTTGTAGGGACATAATTCAACCTATAACAGAGATGATCAATGGAACACTGAAAAAGGATTTAGGCAAACTAATCAGGATGGGGAAGAAGACACAAGGGCAGCCATAAATGTTGGACACGTGCCCTGGTTGAAGGTCCAGGTGAACTCTCCTTGCTTAAAGAGGGCACAATATGTCAACTTTAAGGGTTTCAATGGGAGTGGTCTCTATTCCTTCTTGGCCCTTTTCCAAGCTGGAAACACCCCCACTTCCAGACCCTCCACAAAGCATTTTATCTAACTGAATGTGGGCTTCTGAGAAATGTAAATCTGTCGGGGACTGCACTAAGCCTTGACCTGCTTTCTCTTGTTTAACGTAGACAGTTGTGACCTGCGAGCTAGGTCCTATTGTTTGCTGAATTTTACATGAGAAGCTGAGGTTCAGACAGGTTAGGGAGCAGGCTCACAGCTTCTTCGTGCCTGAGCTTGGATTTATAACCGGCTCTATCGAACTCCAGAAAAATTGCCAGGAAAGCCAGAGGTACTCTTTCATTAATTCTGTGTGACTCAAGAGGGAAGAATTGCAATGCATGAGTGGAAGTTACAAGGAGAGGCAAAGATTCAGCTACATTTTAGGAAAAATACTCAAATGCTTAGACTTCTGATCCTCCAATACTTACAATTAACAGTTTATCCTGATTTAGCTGCTTCTGCCACTAGAGATTTCTAGGCAGGGCCCAGTTTAGATTCTCAGTGCCCTTCCCAAGCCCACCCCACTTTTGAGGGAGATGGAACTCTTTGTACATAAATGGGTTTTTCTGAGAATAGGTGCACTAGATTTTCTGAGCCGTAGGAGATAGAGGACTCGGAGGCTCCCTTATGAGGAATGAAGGTCGCGCCTTGCAGCAAAGAGCAGGAGAAAGAAATTGCTGCTGGTGGTCGGTCTCTGGGTTGACATTCTCTCTCCCCAGCTCTTCCTATTTCAATGGTGGGCATTTCTGCCTCCCTACTGGCCCTGTGGCTGACACTGTCTTCCTGAACTCCACTTCTCCGTGTTGAAGACGTGCCCTCAGCTCTGCATCTCCTCCCTGCTTCTGGCCAATGTCCACGCACCCTGACCTCTGGCCTCCAACAGGAAGGTGCTGGAAACTAGCCGTGCTCCTTCCGGAGATTTGAAATAAACTTTCAGCTGTTATTCCTGGAGAGACTGCGCGTCGGGTGACCCTGCTCCCTGCCATAGTCTGCCGTTCCTAGGGAGCACTTTAATTTTGTAGGGAGCAGCATCTGAGTCACTTATTATTGGGACTGGCCCCCTCCTCTACTCAGAGAGGGGTCTATTCTAGGTACACTTTCTTTCCGGAAGGTCAAAAGCGCGCGTGTGTTGGGAATGCAGTGAGGTTCCCAGAAAATGGTATTGGAGTCCAAGTAGCAGGAAAAAACACTGGCATTAAATGAGATCACACCATCTCCAGACTCTCCCAACAATCATTGTTTCGCCTGCTCCTCAACAACCACCTACGTGATAGATGAGACTCTGGGCTTCAAGTATGGTCTTCCCCACCTTTAGTAATGGCAAGCAACTCCGAGCCTCAGGTCAGGCGATCAGGGGACTTCTTTGCCCAAGGTCCTGAAGCTAAGATGCAAAAAAGAGTCCGGAAGAGTCGGGATTCGAACCCGACTCAAGGCCATGTCATTCACTGCTGCTTTCAAAAGAGGAAGAATTTGGAGGCTGAAGAGCTGAGCTCCTTCCCTCACTCGCTGTTGGACTTCAACCTCCACGCGGGCAGGGAGCTACTGCGCCCTAGGCTTGTACCCAGCACTGGCACACAGCTGGCGCTCACGAACGGTCCTCCCGGGAGACAATGGAAGGAGATCGGTTCCCCTTTTGCAGGAGACTCTTGAGCTTGCGGGCACCCAGGCGGAGCAGGGCCACCTGCTGGGTGTGGACGAGTTGGATCGAGCTCGGAGCCCAGCACCCGGCCCGAGACGCGTCTCGGGCTCCCGGGGGCGCGGAAACCCGGCGGGAGCAGGCGCAGCCTTGCGGACTACCGGCGCCGGCAACGCCGCAGCCGAGCCTCCGCGCCACACTGCGCACGCGCGGCGCCGGCCCGACTCCGCCCCCCGGAGTAGGGACCTACAGCGGGCGCGGCGGCGGCGGCGGAGGCGGTGGCCTGCGGCCGGCGGTGTAGACGCCCCTTCCCCGGAGCCGGGATCCGCCGGCCGGGTGAGTGGCTGAGCCGGAGGGCGAGGGCCCCGGGTTCGCGCGCGGGACAGGCGGGCCGGGACGCCGAGGGAGCTGCGGGGGCCGAGCGGGGCGGCGGGGGGCCTGACGAGGCCGCGCCGGGGCGGGACGGGGTGGGCAGTCCGGGGCCGGGTCTTGCGGGCCCCGGCCCCGCGTGTCGCGCGGCCAGCCGAGCGGCCGGCGTCGTGCGGCCAAGTCCCCGAGGGGGCCCGGGGCGGGGGCTTCGGGCCGGGGGCTGCCCAGACCCCCGGGCCGGGGCGGCGGCGGGGTGCGGGCCCTTTGTGCCGCCGCGACCCCGCAGGCTCGTCCCCCGCGCGCCGGTCGCGACCTGCGGCGGCGGCGTGCGGGCTGCGGGGCCGCCGGTGTGGAGCCGCGGAGCCGGCCTCCTCCGCCCGCCCCCAGCGTTTTAAATGATGCATCTCTTGCGAGGATTTCTACCGGTCGGCTCCGAGCAGGAAGTGTCGTCAGGAGGCCATTTTTAAAGCCTCCTGCGGGCCTCGGAGGTAAGCGTTGACGTGGTGTGACTCTCAGTAGTTAGAGGAGACCCGGCGGCCCCGCCACGGCCGGGCCGGCCCCGGCAGACCACGCACTAAGCCCCTGCGCCCACGCCTCCCGTCCTGGCACCACGTTGTTAGATGTGGACTCGGATACCGTGTACCATTGGTGTGAGAGTGCCAACAATAAACTTGAAAACCGGACTGGCATTGTCTTTCCTTGGGAGTTTCGCGGCGTTTGCCCCGGGAAGGGCTTGTCCACGGAGGACCTGTGCATCTTTTGTGGGAGAGGGGACTCAGGGGAGGGTGGATGGTGAAGGTTTGACTTGCTCCGATGCTGATGGCAGCCTTTGTGGGACCTCCCCATCCCAGCTGCCCTTTCTGTCTTGCGATCTGGGGTTGTTGGGCAGTTTCAGGCAGGGTGCAAAAAAGTGAATATTTCTTCACCGGAAAGGGAAACCAAAGGAGAGAAAGAAAGAGAACACTTAAGTCCCTCTATGTAAATGTACCGCATTAAAATAACGCTGACTTTAAAAACTAGGATAATGAACAATTAGCCTAACATTAAACAAGTTAAAAAGTGAAATAGCACTTTGTCCTGTTTTTGAAAGTGTACACAGCTAAACTGTAATGCTGTGTTACAGCCTTTGAGGATTAATATCTAAGTTTAGAATTGAAGCCACCAAGAGTAAGACAGCCGTGGTCTCCAGGAGCTTGCAGTGCTTTCCTAGAGGAAAGGAGGGAGAATAGGAATGTATGTCTTAATCTTTCTCTGAGTCACGGATGCAAAGTTCAGCCCAGCCAGTGATGTATGTACACAGCAGGAGATACTGGTGGAGGGTTCTCGAAGCCCAGAAAATAGTTGTTTAGAAACCAGTATTATAAAGTCTCTTCAGAATGCAAGGAGAATGGTAGGCTGTTTTAATTGTTTGATATCAATGTTCTCTTTCACCTAGGTCGCACTCTTTAAAATTATTTTTTATCCTAGATGTAATATAGCCTTGAAAAATAAGCCTTTTGTATGTGTCCGGTTTTGTTATGCTGATAACATTCATTACAAATGCATTTTGGAAAACAGACAAAGGAGGGCATTATTTTATTGAGCCTCCTCCCTGATACTATGTCAAACTCTGCTGATTTTTTAAAAATTAATTGATACCAATGTAAAAAAAAAGGAATGCCGTGATCTCCCCTGGTGTATTTGTCTTTAAGTAAGGGGATCCGGGTCAGTTTTTCGGGCAAGAGGAAGAACAAAGAATATTTTTATGGTTGTTGCCATGAAGGCTGGGACATTTCATTCATTCACTCATTTATTCATTCCTTCAACCAATTTGTACTGAGTGCCCCCTGTGCCAAGTCCTATCCTGTTGACTGATAAACAAGGTCCTCACAGTGAGACTTCCCAGTCCTGGATTGTTCTCAAGCTGCCTGGGGTAGACTGCATTTTCTTTGTTCACGCATGCCAACCCAGCCAATTGCAATTTCCAGAATCCATCCTTGGAATGAAGGGTCCAGAGACTATGTAATCCAGATGTTCTCATCATGGAGTGGGGGTGGCGAGGCAGCAGAATCACCTGGGAAGAATTGTAAACCGCGTGCCCCAGCCCATCTCAGGAAAAGGGCAATCTGATTTATTAGGTCACCTGAGTCCTAGGAAACGTTTTCTTTCTAATTTTAAGTTCCTGTGTTACCTGGCCACACATCCTTGCTTGACAAGTATCTTGGGGGCTCATTCTCCTTATTTTCTAGAAGAAAATTCCTGGGGCAACCTAGGCTTCCCAGACCCAGGACTTACCAAGTGCCTGGCTTCTGCTGCAGGGCATTTTGTGCAGTACCTGGCAGCCTCGCAAGGTCCTGGATGTAGAAGCCTATGCCTGGGCCTGCAGGTGTGAGGCCAGATGGGGCTTGGTGCCTGAGAAGACAAGGCCCAAAATAAGGAAGAGCCCTGGAACTTGCCACGCTTTTGACTCATCTGCCGCTTGACAGCACCGGGCAGGAAGTAAGAACAATACTTGAGTGACAGTAGATGCTGTGACTTCAGTTCACAGTCTCACACAGCCTGCTAGCAGAAAGCAAAAGAATTTAGGTTAGACGCCAGCTGACCAATTCCATGACCTGGGAAAAGACACACAGCCTCTCCAGCTCTGTCATCTTAGAAGCAGCAGATAATTGAAGGTGTACTTTGAGGACTATTGAGGTAATGTATGAATGTGCCTCTGCAGCCACCCGGCACCCCATCCACCTGACTTCAGTCAAGATGGTCCAGGATTGCCAAATCCAGCCAGCCGCAGAGAGCATCCTGATCAGGTCACTGGTACGGCATTTACTGCTTCACTGAAACCACCCGTTTATGACTGCTCTCCATCTCCCATTACACTCCTGAAAGACTGCCTGTGGCAGGTGGTGGGGGTAAAACAGTCCTGGTTTATGTTCATTGTACTCGCACACTGCCAGGCACCGTCCCAGGAACATTTACATTTCCAAGAATCTGTAAAGTGTTACTGTCCTTACACACTTTACAGAGAGTATCAGTGATGACATTTCCAAGGTCAAATGGCTAAGCAAGGGTCGGACCCAGAGTCCGCTTGCGCAGTTACCCCACTACCCTCCAAGGCAGTGGCCTTGCCCCCCTCTCCAGCACCCTTGCCTGGGTGGGTATGTAAAAGATGGCACAACAATGTTCATAATATTCTTGGCATTCCCACACACTCCTCTGCACCTATAATGTCAGGTAGTGGTTCTTAACCTTGGCAGTACATTAGATTTACCTGGAAAGCTTTTAAAACTCCAAAAGCCACCCCCACACACAGTGGGGCCCAAGCATCATTATTTTTAAAGCTCTCCAAGAAATCGTAGTGTGCAGTAAGGTGACCATCCCAGTGACCTCCTTCAAAACTAAGTTTAACATCCTGGGCGTATTATGACAAGTTGGTCACCCTAATGCAGCCAAGGTTAATAATCACTGGTATAGTGGAAGATATTTTTTCTGTGTTTGATTATACTTTTTATTAAACCCTTAATCCATTTCATCTGCAAAATTTGGTTTTTCTTTAGGTCAAAACAAGGTGGGGAGGAAATACAAAAATATATGTGTCCTTCACCCTAGGTGTGTGTTCAGTAACACACAGTTTTGTAATGTTGCTTGTAATACTCCTTTGTTTTTTACCTTGTATTTTTTTTTTTAATGCTAACAAGAGTATAATTTCCCCTATGTGATAACTTACTTTGTTTTCTGATACAGTTTCAGTTAAAGAGCTTCACAGTGTCATGTCTGTCTCCAAATAACTCCTTTGTAGATGGGGCTGTGGAGGAGATCCTGGCCCTGAGGACCTCCTGCTGCGAGTCCTTTATCTCATCTGGCTCATTTGTTAAGCTGAGTTTCTGCTGCTCAGGAGTGTCTCCGGATTCTTCTACATTCAAAGGAGTCTTACAAAAACAGGTTGACTTATTTCTTAACAGAACATGTACTGTTTGCCAAGCATAAGGTCACCTGCTCTCTGCATATACCTCTTCCTCACATCAGCATGTAAATTAGGCATTATCATTCCACTTTACAAGTGAGAAAACTCAGGCTCAGGGCAGGTTAACAGATCCAGAATTACACAGCTATTATGTACAAAACCTAGGTTTTAAATCTTGTTCTTGATCTCCCAAGGTCATTGTCTTTTCCACTCTTACACTTTTCCCCTAGAAAGCAAAAGAATCAGAACAGAGGCTTTCTTGTCCAGGCTTCTTGCCCCATTCTGTGGCCCAAGTGTTACATTTGGTTTCAGAAGGGAATCTAGAATCCCAAAAGTGGTACATTTGTCAGCAACATTTGGAAGTATTTTTTGTCATTCAGGGGCCACCAATTTGCACTTTGGTTATTTCGAAGTGCAAGGTCGTTTGGCAAAAAGAAAATAATACTTAGTTGGTGTTTTTCTTCCTGTAGAACTATGTACCCATTCAGTTCAGTTCTGATTCTTTGTAATGGTCTGAAAGAGTTCTCGCTGAGTGAGCACCAGCTTCTTCCTAAATACCATTTTACCTGGGCAGTGATAGCACTTTACAGGCCTAATGTTACCTTTTTTTTTTTCCCCCCCGATCAGTTATTACTTGTCTACATGCTGCTGGGCACTTTGAGGTAGAATGCTTTAAAATTTTGCTTGCTGGGAAACATTTCTTGGACCAGTGTTTGCTATAACTAGACAAAAGGAACAGAAAAAAATCTTTGAGCACCTGTGCCGTGGGCTGAGTGCTTTGCATATGTTCTCTTCTTTGGCTCTCCTAATTACCTTTTAAGTTTGACAATCCTAAAGCCCGTTTCCTTGCCTGACAATGAGCAGAGGGAATCACTTGCCTAAGGACCCAACAAATAGGGACAGAATCAGAGTTTGAACTGCAAACCTTCCAACACCATTCCCTTTGCTCTTCATGGGTACTGCAGCTGCATCCCCCCCATCCTGGCAGTGGATATGGCAGAAACCACATGGAAGGATTTCTGGAGAG